GTTCACACAATCTGATTTTATGTGCCCATAATCATTACATCTATTACACTTGATTTCTTTCTCTTGAATGATGGACAATCCGTTTTGACATGTCTAATACCATGACAATTAAAACACATCACTTACTGCTTTTATGCCTTTCTTCTTCTCTAGGCAGTCTGTTGTTAGACATCTTATACAAAGGATCCATGGTATTTTCAAGTTTCTGAATAATTAGGTAAATAGATTCTTTTTTTTTTTTACGTCTTTGGATGTCTTCGTCATCAACTGAAATTTTTGAATTCTAAACAGGCTTTGACAGCTTAGATTTCAATTCCATCTCCTCAGCTTTTAAGATCCTTACTACCTTAGCGAACTTTAGTTCATCAGTGTTCCTCGTCGAAGTTATTCCTGCTTTTTTCTTGGTCAGAAGTTATCGCTGTTTTGTGTGCTGGAAACTTGGTAGGTAAACATTGCAAAAGTTTCTTCACCAATTTTGCATCTTCATATTTTTTACGTAAAACTTGTCTTTCATTGGCTATGGAGCTGAGCTTGGCACTAAAGTCTCATATGTTTCATCATCGGTCATCCTTATGTTTTCAAATTGTGATGCAAGTAAGTCTAATATTATCCTTCTAACACTCACAGTACCCTCAAAGGCATTTTGTACTATATCCAACCCTCTTTAGCTGATTCACATCTTTGTATTAGCTCAAATTGCTTACCATCTACAGAACTGAATATTGTATCTAATGCTTTTGCATTAAACTTTGAAAACTTTTTCTCTGTTGCAGTACACTTTGTCATTGGTTTAGGTGTCTTCACACCATCTTCTATTATCACATATGGTTCTTCCCATCCAGATTGAACAACTGTCTATATATCTTCATCAGTTCCACGTAAGTTTGCTCTTATTCTCACTTTCCAATACTCATAATTCACATCATTCATCAGCAACATATTATGTACCAAAATCACCATACTCTCCTCTTAGGATCTCACCTTGGTTCGAAGAACTCTTCTTCGTTTAGGTCTCCGGCTCTGATCCCAATTGTAGAATTGAGATACATAAAAAAACACAAGGCACAAAGTAATTCCAAAAACACTTATCTCTTATATGAAAACCTTTTACACAATCTCTTACAGACTTGCTTGATCAGAAATGCACGACTCGACACTAATCAATTCCTAACATATCCAACTTACTTCATTCAACACATGTTGATCAGGTCTACCAATTCACTCAGCTGTGAAATCCCAAAATCCTTTGTGTTTCTCTTTGAGAATGACAATATTAAAAGTCCTAATCCCAAATTAGATAAAAGCCAAGAAATATATTAAATAATATTTTCCTATTATCTAATATATTATTTTCTTATATTTTAGCATCATAAATCTTTTAATTTTGTCAACCAAACATATGAAAATATTCCACATCATTGCATTTTGATATGTTCTTTTTATTATTTCCGCGTGTATAATATATTATTTTCTATATATAACACATGTACACTAACAAAAAATTTACCACTATAGCAACTTCTCAAGCTTCAAATTCTTGAGCTTGCACGTACTTGATTCATATAATACTGACTTCAACATTTCTTTTTACTGAGCACACTTCTTTACATCCAACTCAAACAACGATCACTTGAACCAAACCGGTTAAACGAAAATCAGAACCAACATTAACATCCTTCGTTTTGTCGTTGCCAATATTAACATACAGCTTTAGAATTATCTTGGATATGTAATTTTTTTATCCTTACTGCAATTTTAATAACCACTAGCTAGATTTCGACCCGTACAACCGTGCAAATATATATTTTCAGGTTTATATATAAATATTTGTTTTACAGGTCAAAATATACATTTTTAATGTTACTTACACATTTAAATATTTGTATAATTATTTGAAATACATTAGTTTTATAGTTTTTATACTGTAAATTCAAATCATCACATATATATATATATATATATATAGATATATGTTTCTTCTTATGATATATTTTTCTTATTGAATTTTCATTTGATTATTAAACCAATTTCTTAAGTATGAAACAAAATATTTGAAAATTATTTTGTTTATATATTATGATCGTAATCCATAATTCAAAACGTTAGATAGTAATTTTTTATATTTATTCATTTTATATAATAAACTACCCTATATAAAATGTTTAGATAAATTGATTTTTATACATGAATTATATAGTTTACGAATGTTAACCCGTTCTACGAACATTTTATATTTTTCGAATAAATATTTTATATTTATTAACCTAAATGTATTAACTTAGCAATTTCAAAAAAACTTAATCATATTTAGTTGAATATAATGGTTTTCTTTGAAAATGATAGATATTATAAGAAAATAGATAAATTATGATATAATTTTATTCGTTTCATTTTATAAAATATAGCACAATATATATATATATATATATATATATATATATATATATATATATATATATTAATGTATAATAACATTTTAATGACTAATTATGATATTAGTGAAAATATTTATGTTCAACTTTTGAAATTAAGATCTTGTTATAATTTTCTTCAACTTCCTAGAATATATATATATATATATATATATAAATATAAAAATATGAAAAGATATTATGATTAAAGTAGTTAAAAATATTTTATATTATAAGCATTAAGGATATACATTTAATAAGAAAATTAAATGATGATCTAAATAAAAATATCACACATAAAAGAAATCAAGAATTTTATTTTATAGAATATATATATATATTTAAAACAATTAAAATAAAATAAATATTTATTTTAAACAAATCTTTTAGGATTATTAGTAAAATGTATTTTGAAATTAATCAATTTCATTTTATTATGAGTGAATGTGATGAAATATATTTAATTTTTAATAGTCGTTTATAAACCAAAATTAAATTCAATTTTAATTTCTAATTATATTTATGATAATTTAAAGTAAAATTAACTAATTTTTGAAAGTAAATTTAAAAAAATTTAAAGAGATTTTAAAATATTTTTTTAGAACATTTTAAATTTATTCATTTGTATTTCAAATAAAATGATGGGTTTGTAAAAATATAAAGATATTAAAAGATATAATAATGAACTTATGTAAAATATGATATTTTTAAGGAATAAGTCCAAATTTTAAAAAAATCATATATAAAGTGAAGTCATAATTTCAAATAAGATTATTTTCTTCAGATAAGATTATTTCAGGTATGGAAAGTAATTTTCAGATAAGATTATTTTCTTCCCTGAGATTCGATTCCAATATTCAAGACAACTCACTAATATATTCTTTACGACAGGTTGTATAACCAAATCAAGAGCAACATGACGATGTCGGAGAGTCAAAGAAATCTGAAGTTGGGTAGTTACTGAACAAGAATCACTTATGAATATCTAAGCAAGGTAACTATAAGAATGAAATTACCTTATAGTTGCCCTCTCTTTAATTTTATTCTCTCTTTTTTTTGTGAATCAACTTGATATAAGTTTTTCCCTAGCACATATAGATTTGTTTCTCCCCCGTTCTTGAAGAATATGCAAGCTTTACGTTTTTAATAGGGAGAGCAGGTAAGATAGTACTTTAACCTTCATATTTACTCTTTCGTCTTCTAGCTGTCTCCTAAAATCTCAAGCCTGATACAAAAATGCAACGTTGTTGGTGATATTGGCAACTTTAGAGAAACAGAAGCTACAATAGAGGTAGGTGTGCTACATGAAGCTATAACAAATAACCAATAATATCATGATCATGCCCTGACCAGAGAAGTCTACATATGGTAATATTGTGCGTTGATTTCCTAAGAAACACTTTGCAAAGTTTAATACAAACTTTCAGTAAACAGAATCAAATTTGTAATCTCCAACGCAGATTCCTTCAAGGACACTGGACTTAGTTTTTTTTTTCATCTTTGATGTGATTTATTTCTATCCATGCTGGGCTGATTGTTTTTGGATTACACAGAACAAGTTGCATAATTTGGTTAGACCATTATCAGAACTCGAGCTTATTAGAATTTTATGACTGTCTTTGTGCTTTGTGAGCTCCCAGGTTCAAGCTACGGAAGAGACATGACCAAGAGACATGACCGAAAACAGGTGTGTTGAAATATTGGAAGCGTTTCTGTTACAATCATATGTTTAGAGTTCTGATGCATTATTATCTTCTTCTTTTTTTGGCTTGGGCTTTATTGTATCTTCTATCGATAGATATTTCTCCTTTTGTTTGGTATTTTCCACTTGATTTCAGCTCTACTCATAAATGGTTCGAGTTCAAGCTTCAAGACACTACTAGAGTTTGAGAATCACCACAAGGTTAAGGTATTTTCTCTCTTTGTGTGATTCTCAACATCTTTTAACTAACCTGCATCCCTGCCTGGTATGTTGATGAGTTTTGTCTGCCGTTTTTATTTCTATTCAATGGTGTATTTATGTCTGAATTCTTTTCCCTGTAGCTAATGATGGCCTTGAAGACTCATTTGGTTGACTGAAGAAAAAGAAGAAGATGCCATTGAGTATTTTAACGTTTTGTGTCTTCGAAACTGGTGTTTGTGTTATTCTGTGCCCCCTACATCGTTTTTTTTATGATGGGTAGATTGAATCAAGCTCACTGGATGAAGAAATTGTTGATATTGCAGAAGAATGGGTTAAGCTCCATTCCAGGATGTTGTTGCCGGCCATGGTTAGGGTTTTTGAATGAGAAAGCTAGGGGGAAGGCCCAAGAGGAAGTGGAAGCGAAATTTCTCAAGTTATTGGAGGAGAATTGTAAGGTTAGTTTTCCAGTGTGGTGAAGCCAAAAGTCATTCAAAGGGTTTTAAGTTACATGGAAAGGTAGGAGATGTCCTCGAAGCGATGGAGAAGAATCTGTTTGAGATTAAGATGAAGAAAGACTCTCATTCCAGTTACTCGAAGACTTTGAAGTCAAATAAAACATATTGGAAAAATCACTTAAGGTATTGTCTAATAAAAAATGTAAATTCATATATTATACACATAAATATATGAATTACTGTGGGGTGGGAGCTGACAAAGCCATTGGTCGTGACATTGTGGATGCACACTACAAGGCCTGTCTTTACGCAGGTATAGGCATCCCTGGTGTCAATGGTGTAGTCATGCCTGGCCAGTGGGAGTTCCAAGTCGGTCCCGTTGAGGGTATTAGTGCTGGTGATCAAGTCTGGGTCGCTAGATACCTCCTCGAGGTACTAATCTTACCTAAACCGGTCTTAACATACAAGTTTCAAAATTTACTAACCATCTCTTTTGATAGAGGATCACTGAGATCTCTGGTGTAAATGTCAGCTTCGACCCAAAACCAGTCCCGGTTAGTGTCCCTAACCACACTCTAATACTCTTCATGTGCAATAAGTTGTTACATTGTTTTATGGGTTTCAGGGTGATTGGAACGGAGCTGGAGCTCACTGCAACTACAGTACGAAGTCAATGAGAAAAGACGGAGGATTAACAGTGATAAAGAAAGGAATAGAGAAGCTACAGGTGAAGCACAAGGAGCACATTGCTGCTTACGGTGAAGGCAACGAGTGTCGTCTCATGGGTAAGCACGAAATCGCAGACATCAACACGTTCTCTTGGGGAGTAGCGAACCGTGGAGCTTCGGTGAGAGTGGGACGTGACACTGATAGAGAAGGCAAAGGTTACTTCGAGGACAGAAGGCCAGCTTCTAACATGGATCCTTATGTCGTTACGTCCATGATTGCTGAAACCACTATTCTCGGTTAAATCACACACATTTTTAGTAATATTTGGTTTTCTCCGGTTTGGTTTTAAAATTTGAAGACTTCTGTGCTTGTGATTGCGGTTTATTTCCGTTTAAATAATTCTTATGACGATATTTTGTGTCTTTTTAAGTTTCAGATTATTAAAATAAAGGATTCTTGTGGTGAAAATGTCATCGTGTTGTTGAAATGATAATAATGACTCTTGAGACGTAACAATCAACAATGAATATTAACATATTAAAAAAAAAGAATATTAACATATTTAGGCAAAAAAATATGAATGTGTTCTTAATCTTAGCATACACACAACTAAGATTGAAAGGTCATTTATTCTCGACGCAATGACCAATATATTTACATTTGTGTGACACAGAAAAAAAAAGGTACACCACAGCTAATGCTTCCATCTTACTTTCTAAAAGTATGTATAATAATAAAATTATTTAGTAAACAATAAAAAACAAATAAATTTAAATTTATACACTATTTAAAATAAATTATAGCTTAATGATTTAAACATTAATCGTGATTGATCATCAAATGAATAGTTTAATTTCTTTTCCCTCGAAACATTTCTAGATATAAAACCTTTTCTCAAAAAAATGAAATTTTATAAATTATATGGTCATGTACCATTTCTACAAATAAATAGTTTTAAAAAAAATCAGGACAAATTACTTAAACTATCACCTTTGTAGTATCATGTTTCATGTTTATCTCTACAACATTTACCATTACTTTTAAAGAGGTAAAAAAAATATTTATAATCCTAATATCAACTAATCAAGATTTAAATTTTAAAATTTAGGGATGGAGCTTAGAAATATTTAAAAATCAAAGTTAAAATTTTTAAAATAATTTCAATTCTTTTTTTTGAATTTCATCTACACAACTCTTATGTTCTAAGTCATGTTAAATCATGTTTGCAAAACTCAAAAACTAAATAAAGGTCTGGGACATAACCAAACCAAAAACCCACCACGTAGCACAAATATAAAACTACAATTATAAGCTGAAATATTAAAATATAATAATACATATCACATTAAACATTGGAAAAAGAGCAAAAGTAAACAAATAAAATACATTCACAATTAGCTTATAAGCGAATACTTTCACTCTAATTGCTCACCTAAAATACAATATGACCCAATCTGTTATATGCGGATACCAAAAATTACATCATCACATCAATCTAGATTAATAAATCACATAAATTTCGAAAAACCTCACATAATAAATCAAATAAAAATAACTGACAAAAATAAAATAAATCTGTCTTTAAATAGCCTAAGATAAAGCAATGGGAAGAAAAAATAAAAAGCTACACACACCAAATTATATGAACAATATTTTCACCAAATACATAGCCAATAAATTTGCCATTTTAATAGTTGTTGTCAAAAAGGACAAACCCCTGTCATTATCAACAATGTAGAACTGTCAAAACAAACCAATAACAGTGTTTGGAAAACTGCTAGACTCATTATAAAACCAACAACATACATCAATTTTGAAGGAAGGAGCAATTTATGAAGTATCAAATTTTATGATGCTTCCAAATAATAAGAAATACCGACTAGCACCTTATCCTTAATTTTTATGCAACACCTCATCCTTATATATAATCGCTCTTAATAAAAGAAAATGTACCACAAATACCTTCTTTAAAAAATTTGGGTCCAAACTTATGGTGATCTGCTATGTTTATTCGCTAACAAAATACATATAAAATAATATTATGGGTTACATTTTTGGTTTAACTTATTTAAATTTAAAATACGAATTTTATCCTAAGTCTACAAGTATATGTTATAGGTCAAATATACATAATGCTTGGTATATAGCAAAAACTGATGTTGTTATAGATTTAGTTCTGGATAGGTTACACTAAAATCAATAAAGAAACACATATAGTTAGTTAGTGTATATATTTAATAAAATATAAAATTCTCTAAAAATAGTTTTATTACTAATGTTATCGAACAAACAAAATTTTCACATAAAAAAATGAATAGTATAGAAAATATAAAGTCAAGAGATACACAATAAAAAAAATTAAGATACTTCTGCATATAAGAAAATAAAACAAACTCTTCAAGAAGATAATCTAATTATTAATTACCGGTAATGAACCAAAATAAATGTGAAAATAAATTATATACACCATTTTATTAAAAAAACTTATAGAATCTGTTTTAAGATTATTACTTATTATTTTTTTTTATAAACACTTCAAGATTAGTATTAAATGTTGATGCCAACTAACTTTGAAGATTTTTTTGGTGCCATTTTGAGGATTTTTCTACAATAGTGAATAGTCATCACTATATGATTGTAAGTTGCATCAACTCAAACAGATTCTAAATACCATAAAAATTTTCTAATACCATAACTTAGAAATCAATTGTAAATAAAAAATGCATGCTCACTCATTTTAAGAAAAAGGTATAAATATTTGAATATTTATTATGTTAGAATAGTTATGTGGTATGTTTTCAGATTTTGTAACATAAATAATTTCTATCGCAATGAAATGGACAGTATCTGTTATTTATAATTTGTTTACATGGTAACCCAATATATAAGATAAAAAAATTTGGATCATAATTTAAATTTAACTATTCTATTCATTTCACATTTGCTCATTTTACATATATTTTAGATAGTAATATGATAAATTGTCCGTTTGACTCATTTCTAATTCAATATATGGTCTATATGTTTATAACAATGTATTATATGTGTATTATATATATTAGAAAGATTGATATTTGTGTATCCCGGGCGTAGCCCGGGTAAAATCTCTAGTTAGAATAAAGAAATTAAAAAGTGACAGATAGAGAGGTCAAATGTGGTTAATCATTAAGTGATATTAGTTAATACATTAATTTTTCTACCCTAAAGCATGATTAAGCATAGAATTTAGGGAAATAAAGATTATTATTAATGTTGAAACACAAAGATTCCAGCAACAGACAGATGATAAGAACAGTGCTTGTAGGGTTACAACTTTAACATATATAACTACTAGGGTCGGCCCGCCCTACGGGCGGGATATACTTTACTTCTAATCTAGATTATAATTTTTGGTATGATTTTATAATTTGTATTTTAGGTTTGCACTCGTAAGAAAGTATGATACACTTCAAATAAATTCATATTATATCACATAAATAGTACCAGGAAAACAAATGATATCAATTTGAAATACTTATTAGTAAAATGATACAAAAGAAATTTATTCTATCAAGAAATTTTTGAGGATGTGAATATAATTCATATTCTTTGGAGTAGGAAGGATCGGACGGTTTCGTTAGCAAGAAAAGCAAGAACCAGAAATTATATTTTCTCCCATATAGTTCGGATCCGGATAGATGGAAGTGTTCTTCGGAGAATCGGTTCATCTACCCACCAATTGGTCTATTAAATGAACAACTAACAAAAAATAATACACCAAATAATATAATAAAATTAATTTTATTTAATTAGTCTATATACAGAAAAAAAATAATTTTCTAACTTAATTAGTATATACACAATAAATTTTGTTTAAAAAAAATATAAACTAATAATTCTATAAATTATTAAAATATTATATTTCTAACATTAGTAATTTATAGATTGTGACTCATATAATTTTGTCTTTAGCATCCACCTACAAATATACTTATGAATAGTTTTTTCAGAGATTACTTTTAGTCTTGTTATTGCTTACATTTTGATTTTGCTTGTGTTAGAACGGCCTTCTGCATGTTCAATTGTCAACCACTTTGATAATCTTTGGTTCCTCACCAAATCGAGCAAAATAACTAATATGACGTTAACCATAACATGTTTGTATCTTTTGCTATAAAAATGCATTAAGTTGGATTCATACATAAATGTTTTCTTTTTGTTAACTTTGGTTTCTTTACTCAACTCTCACAACATCCAATCGAAAAAAGCTATAGAAAAAACAAACTCCAGGAAATGGAAGAAAAGTTTATACCATTAGGAAGTGACAATTAATATATTAACATTCTCACAATATATATATAATAAGTAATATTAATATTGGCCAAACATATACAACGTTTTTTTTCAAAATATGCGTAGAGATTGACAACATACCATATCATCCAATGTGATGGACGCATTATATGTACGAAATACTTTGGCTGTGAGAGCAGGCATAAGTTCCTTAAGATGAGCATTGAGTTTTGAAGTATCCAGCTCGTACCATGAGTAACTATAATTTGCAAAAATTAAAAACGCTTGGATATAGATACATTCTGCAGTCAATTCTGTTGACGTTGAGATCAAGATATACCTTCTCTCCTCAAACTGCTTGTCAACTTGTGGCACACTCGAAGCTGGCAAACCCAAAAGATTTTAATAAAAGGGAACAACAACAAACATTCACTTAGCTCGGATTTGTTTGTTTGTTTATACCTCGGATCGAGTTGCCCCACCAATAGTGAACACAAAGATGCGTTTCCCCAGCTTCTTCAAGTCCAGTGAAGCATTTTTCAGCACTGAGTCACTGTGTGTGTGAAGAAAGAATAGTATGTTTCTTATTAGAACACCAAGCTACTCAATTAAAAGAAAAGAAAGATAATGGTTAGAGAAGTGCTTTGCCTGGAATACCCATGTCAGAAGAATGAGGACGTGCCCAAGTTGCAGTCTGTCTTGATCTCATAGAATGAGGGGTGGCTTTCCACTCTGGAACAGCTGTAGGAGCAGAGCTCTTCCTCACTGAACCTGTTCGGTGTTGACTCTCCTCCTCCTTATGACTCGATTGGTTCATGCACAAATAGTCGCTTTTAGATAGATCGCCTTTCACATGTTTCTCAAGTAGCTCCTGTTATTAAAATCTCATCATCTCAGCCACCACGATTACAACAGTGCATAATATGTGACTAATATAGTATTCATCTACCTCGAGCATTGGATAAACCGGAACAGTTGCCACGTTTCTTCTTCACCAGACCTATCTTTCCTGTTTGCTTGTTTTGTTTA